TTTCACTTTAACTATGACGCACATTGCACCCAAAATAAAAAAATTCAATAATAGCTGTATATAAAGCACTTTGAATTTATTTTAAAGTATATTTTAAAAATAACTACTTAGGTTTAAAGTAAGTATATTAAAGTAGTTTAAGGTAATGTTGGCTTAGTTAAAAAAACACGTATGCAAACCTATTGCACCTCCTAACATCGAGTGCAATCCTGTCCGCTTTCTCTATGCTATCTTTCTAACTCGACTACTTCTGTCTTTCACTCTAACATATCTTCGTTCTTCCTAAACTCACTTTACTCTCGGTCCGTAGAGCGGGTTATGACGCCCCTTGGGGAGCCGAACCTGTCTTTGCGGTACCGTGGTAATGTGGCCTCTATATGGCAACTAGCCGGAGGAGGATAAACCACAATACCACTTAGGTTTAAAGTAAATTTCTTTTAAAGTATATTTTAAAAATAACTACTTAGGTAACCTTAATTTTAAAAAAATATACCTTTAAAAACATTATTTACTATGATATCCTAATTTTTCGCATTAAAACAACTCATAATATCATCAGTAATTGACCTTTTTATAGAAAAATTTTTATAAGAATGTCTTAAAGATTTTTTGCAAATTACATAGTCTAAATAGTCCAAACAACGTATCATACTATCTTCTAGCATACTATTATGGGATATTTTACAAAATACTTTCACTTTCACTTTGTAAAATATATTCCACATTGTTTTTTTTTTAAGCGTAATTTTATGTTAGTAATTGAACGTCTAAAAGTTTTTTTTTTTCAATATCTGACCATCCATTGTTTTAGTAGTTGACCAAATATTGAATGAGAGAAAAATGAAAGTAGTGATAATATGTATATATTTTATTTCAGTAAATATAACGAAGACTTATTAAAATCAAAAAAATATAAAAATGCATTTTTTTCATTTTTAGTTAAAGAGTTTCAATTGCCATTTAGTAAAATCTAAAATGAAAATTTTATTTTTATAAAATAATAATTATTTTTGAAATTTTTATATAGTTTTTATATTTTGCTTCATTTGAGACCCTACAAGACATATTTTTAAAAAACTTTTTTATTAAATGATATCAGGGATCCATTAATTGTTCAAGAGGTTTTAAGCACCCGTAAAAATATCTTTTATTCAAAAAGTTTTTAAATCCAATATTATTTTATTATATAGAACACACTAAGGTGTATGGTTAGGATATTTTAAAAAAATGTTGTTTTAAAAAAAATTAAAAAAAGTAAATGTATTCAATGGTTTTCTTTTTGTGCAAATTTGTTTTACTAATTTTTTTTTCATTTTATCTACAGGAAAAACTCTCTGGAAAACTTTATTTTACTATTGCAAAAAATCAACTAAAAAACCAAAATACTCTTCAAAATATATCTTCATATACTTAACAGCATGATGAATTTAGTTTATTGATAAATAGTCTTGCTTTTGCTTTACCCTTTGCCTTTATAAAAAAATTGATGTGTTTGCTCAATTGCATTTTAAAAATTGTGTATATTATATATATATATATATATATATATATATATATATATATATATATATATATATATATATATATATATGGATCATTTCTAATCCTAATCTAATATACTTCTAGTGTTTAGATTATAAACTGACTTAATCTAGTTTTTTTTCCATAAAACAAATTTATATCGAATACATTTTTCAGATTTAATATATAACAGAGTTCTACTGTTAAAAAAGTTTTATATATGTGAAAAACCTTGGATTCATTTCTACTTTTTTTCCTAGTGTGATTATTTTGGCATTCATGTTCTTATGTAATCTCTAATCACAATTAGTCCAAGTTAACTCCTATTGCCTACAATAATAATTATTTTTTTATTAAAAAATATAAAGTTAAAAAATAAATGCCGAAAAAAAATATATAAAGTTAAAAAATAAATTCCGAAAAACAATTTTGAAGGAAATACACCTTGTTTGCGTCAATTATAAAACTTAAGAATTCAATTACAATTTTACAGATGAGTAATTTTTTATAAAGATCATGAAAAAATATTTCTATACTAAAATTACGTTTTGATAAAAATATTACGTTATATTCAAATTTTTGATGTGGTTAATAGAATTTAGTAACAGATGCAAGCCCATGCATTTTTAGAAAAACGACATTTTGATTTCCTTTTTTCACACACGCCATAACCATGTCCTAACTCTTTACAACGGTTATTGCAGTTTTTCCACAAAATACCTGTTCCACGCTGACTCCATTTCGTGCATCGACTCCAAGTTTCCCAGCAACCTATTTAATTGATAAATATATCAATAGTTTTAATAAATTGTTTATGGTGTTATGATAAGAATACTTATTCTTATTATATTATCATAATATATTATTATCGTTTCCTCGTTTATACGTTTTTACTACTCTTTCGTGCCTACGCTATTATCGTTTTCTCGTTCGAACGTTATTACCACCTTCTCGTTTATATCAAGAGTATTTATTTGTGTTAGTATCAAACAGATTGATTAAAAGCATAACAAAAAACATGCAAAATTTTCTGCTACCACTGAGTAATAATAGGGTAGAGCGAGGCATATCGGGACAGCGAGGCATTACGGGACAGTTATGCCTAAAGCCTTATATCTTTATTATTCATTATTGATAAAAAAATATTTAATTTTGAAATACCAAAAAGCATTAAAAGTACTGAAATGCATCAGTAAGTTTGCGAAAAACAAAATTTGCGTATTTTTTCAAGCGATACAGGGACAAAAGACTTATCTTGAACTCTTGCGAATTCGCTTTATTTATAAAAAGTTTATACTTTTCAGACAGTATTTTTTATCTTCTGTTAGAATCTGGTTTAAAAAAAAAACTTGGAATTGAACTTTTTGAGAAGGATTAATTTCAGTAAAATGACTTTTGTGGGACATATCGGGACAAAAAAAGTATTTATATAATTAAGTATATAACACCATTTCGCAATTTGAAGTTTGATGATTTTATTTTCAATCTAAAATATTGTTTTTTTTATTTAGAAAATCAATTTTAGAAATAAATTCAAAGAAATTTTTATTTTTATAACTTAACTTCGATTATTAATAGTGTTTAATGTAAACAAAGAAAGTGAGAAAGTATATACGAAAGATCAATCATCCAAAACGGGATGAAATTCAGTTTTAGTGTGAGTAAACAGAAATTTAGAACTAGAGCTGCTGATACATGTGGCATATTAAAGTTTGCTATAAATTGGCATATTGCTAATTAGCCAGGTCATCAAAAACGTTGCCCAACAGTTTCAGGATATTTTTTGTGTGACTTATGTGATCCATAAATTTTTTTGTTTAATTTCAAATTAACAACTGTTACCAATTTGATAATATATAGTTTAGAGTAGTAACACACACAAAAAAACATATTCATTTCTTTTTTGTGGGTTTATTTCTTTTTTGTGGTGTATGGGTGTATGGGCGTGTAGTTTCTATGGTTATGTTACTTTTTGAAAAGTCTAATGGCTGAGCATATCGATGCAATAGATAGCCTTCTTTTTTATGATTTTTAAATTTTTATAATTGACAAATAACTGCTGCTTTTTAACTGTCCCGATTTGCCCCACCCACTTGCAAAATATAAATGTTTTGCTAGTCTAGAGTTTCGTTATTTTGGTTATCATAACTTATTTTTAGAATATTTTTTTTTTTTGTTTTTTCATTTTCTTATATCAATAACTTTAGGAAATTAGTTTTTTAATTAAATTAGGAAAAACATTGTTAACTATGATTAGTTTATCCGCAACTTTGTTTCTTAAGTGTCTCTATTTGCCCCGCTCTACCCTACAAAGTATTCACCTTTTACATTAGGGATTTAAAAACTTGTGGGTTTAAAACTAGAAGTTTTCTTTAGTCAATTTTTCTAGTTTAGGAGAAAGCTTAGATAAATTGAAGACAAGATAACAATGTTTATTTATTTTTAGTAAAGTTTATACTGGTTAAACTAGTTTGATTAAACACTCGTTTCATCCATTTTGATAAAATAGGTCAATTGGTTGGAATTAAATCATTTATTTACAAACAATTTTTTTTTTTGCAAAACAGTTTTATAACAATTTTAGAACAAAATGGTTTTTAATAATTATATGGTGTTGAAAAGATTAATTTAAAACTGATGTTACCAGTAAAAAAAGTCAACTTTTAACGTCATGCTAAACCACTATTATTTCAAATGAAAATTCTTAATATTTATTAGCTGAATATTTTTAATATACTTTATTTAATGTACAAATGTAAAACCAACGCATCTCCTGTTTCTTTTTATCAACTTTATACCTTAAAAGATAAAAGTAAATATAACTTAAGAAATGATAACCTAATACGGCAACCCTTTTTCTCTAACTATTTTTGGAAAGTCATGCATTTCATTTTGAGAAACTTTTCTTCGAAACAAAATAGTTTTGAAAAATTATGATTTTTCGCATAAATGGAATTATCTTTCAAGATAAAAATAAAAGAAATCATTTTATCTTTTAAAGACATAATTTTATATTTTTAAATTCTTCTGAAAATGAGTATGAAGCTTATTACATAAGGTAATACATTATAGTATATCTGATCCGCATCATATGTGTTTATGAAAACTTTTTAAAATATTTTTGTATTTATGTATAAAAGTATAAAGAATTTCTTTATTCCAATTTTTTTATATATTCTTACAAAATTTATCTCGCTAATTATTACTATGACATTGTTTTTTTATTTTATATTTCATGTTAATATACTTAATATTCACGAGCGGTTCTCGATTATACGACCTTGCAAATCTGCGCGCTTTTTTTTTTTTTTATATATACTGTATATTTTACCGGTATATTTTGTTATATTTTTTTATTGTTTAACGATTTTTATTTTAACTATCTTATCGTATAAATTTATTGAATATTTAAGAAAAAAAACAAAAAAATTTGAAAAATTGAAAAAAAAAAAAAAAACCTAATAGAGTTCCAGCTTGAGTATCGGAAGGCATTAAAGCAACCAAAAAAATAGATACAAAAATGAAACATACAATAGATCTCATTCTAGTCTGGTTTTTGTACCTAAAATGATCTAAAAAACAAAGAAATTATTGTAAAATTAGTAGTTCCTTAAAACGGTAAGTTTATTTTATTGTAGTGATCAAAATATTTTATTCTTATAGTTTGAATTTATTATTTTTATGCAAAAAAAGTTATCATATGGTAATGAATAATCATTTTAAATATTTCTTTTAATAATTAAAATTACTTACATGAATTGTTGTTTTTAAAACAATGATATCAAAAAAAATTAAACTGCTTTTTAGACAACTACTTTTGATTTTTTTTTTTAAATGGGGCGATGCGCGTCATAGTTAAGATAAAAACTGAAGCGTTAAATATTTACTCATTTCCAAGAAACGTTCATCATATTATGACATCAATAGTCTGGATATCAAATTTGTTATTTTTTAAATGATTTATCACAGTTGTGTAATTAATCCTGAAAAAATTAGACAGAAACTTGATTGTTATAATACTGATTGAGAATTTATGTTGTTAAAATTTTTTTTTTTTGCTCAATAAAAATAAAAATCTGTGTTTATTGTTCAAATTTTAGGTAAAATAAATAAAGCTAATTATGATCATAAAGTATTAGATTACAATCATGGCCTCCCGACATAAAAAATTGATGCGCGCCACATTTGAAAGCCACACTCGATTTATGGGTTTGCGTAGATCATATATGGTTTAAGTATCATAACCAAATGTGGAGCATATGTGGTATAAATGCCATAAGTGATAATCAATCCACTTAAGTGGTATAAATAACATAACCACACAAAACTCACATAATCTAAAAAAAAAAGTTTGAGTTGGATGCATAAGCCCCACATCAAACTTTTTTGACGGGCTACTGCACTTTAGTAAACTACACAACAGTAAGCCATAGTAGCAATGGCTACTTATCTAAGAAAAAATGTTGTGTAAATAACATAGTTTGGTTTTACTTTTTTAAGACCTTTCACGCACGCACGTGCGAATAGACTATATCTTTTTATTGTCTAGTTGCACTTAAGTAAAAAACTTAAACTTAAATATTTTTTATAATAAAAATCATATCTAAATTTGATCTAAAGTTTTAAGTTTTAATAATACCTTAATTTTCATTTATAAAACAAATAAAATAAAAAATAAATCGATATATAGTTAGAATAAAGTTTGAGAAGTACGTTTTTTTTATTAAAAGATTGCCATATTATATATATATATATATATATATATATATATATATATATATATATATATATATATATATATATATATATATATATATATATATATATATATATATATATATATATAAATATATATATATATATATATATTTATAATATATATATATATATATATATATATATATATATATATATATATATATATATATATATATATATATATATATATATATATATATATATATATATATATATATATATATATATATATATATATATATATATATATATATACATATATATATATATATTTATAATATATATATATATATTATAATATATATATATATATATATATATATATATATATATATATATATATATATATACATATATATATAAAATATATATACATATATATATATATTATATATAGGGGAGAGTGTGTATGAAAGAGCCAGTTTTAAAAAGGTATGAAAAAAAAGTAAATTTTGATTAATTTAAAAAAATTTTTAATTAAATAGTTACTTTATTGGGTAATATTATAAAATTAAAATAAACTGGATAACAATGCTAATATTCTGTCATACACCTATTCTAAACAAAAGAGAGAAATCAGCTCTTTCATAACATCTTGTCAATGAGCCACTCTGTGTTACTCTGTGTTATGAATGTCTTTTATATATATATATTTTATATATATGTATATACTCTTTCTGGCAAGTCTTTTAAGAGTAATAATCTGTTAATTAGACTTCTAAAAATCAGATTGTACTTTAAGTTATATAATTATTTGATAATTAATGATAAAATAAATGATAAAACAGCTTTAATAATAGTTTCACTATATTATTAAAAAAATACCCTCATATAACGTCAACGTCGCTTTTCGTAGTTAATACTTGTGACAAGACATGTTTTTTTTTTTAAGATGAAAAATATTAAATGAGAATGAAAAAATCAAAAGTATTAATATGCACTAGTCAAACGTTTATAAAAAAAATTTATATACACTAGTCAAAAGAACAAATTGTGTAGACTACATCTTAACGATAAATGTTACCTATGAATCATAGTGATTTATAATCATAGTGATTTATAATCACTACATTTCACATATATTAACTATGCTAATGATATATGAGCGAATACAATAATACAAAATAAGTTGTGTCAAAATGTATAGAAGTTTGAAACAAAAACAAATTTTAATTATTAAAAAAAAATTATTTAAGCTTTAGTAAAAGCATTATTATTATAAGATTCAAACGCACCTATGTTTTACGACTTTAGGAAAAGTCATTCAAACAATTAATTATCAATAGAATATGATCAATGAAGCATTACGAAAAACGATGAAGTCAAGTCAAATGCGCAAAACAGTAAGTGATTCAATTTAAAAAAAAGCTAAATAGATAAGGCCGGTTTTTTCATAGCATAAAAAAGAGGCTTTTTTAAAAAATTATATGGTAAAAAAATAACCTGAAATTAAACATTTTTTACCGAAACTTTTATCTAATATTATTTGTGAAAATGAAGGACACATATATACAGCGCTGTCGAGAGTTGTCACGCCGCCTGGGACAGCAATCCTGATTGGCGCCCTTATTTATCAAATTTTTCCTATATTATATATGAAGGATCTCTTTTTGTTTTGTGTGTTTTAGACACCTAAATTTCATTTGGCGCCCCTTAGATATCTGGGACAAACTGTCTTATATCCGGGACAAACTGTCCCGGTGGCCCCACCCTCTCGGCGGCCCTGCATTTTTATATATAGCAATGCAGCATATATGTTTTATCAAATAATAAAATACTCTTTATTATAAAAATAAATAAGTAAACCTCAAAAATATTACTTTTTATTTTCAAAATTTTTAGTGCATCCTTACGGCTCTATTTATTTTAGTAGAACTCTAGTGGGTGACAGGTATCCAGCGTTGCCACCCAAAATAATGGCATCGGCTTTTTCAAAACCTGGCTCTTTCATACACACTCTCCCCTATATATATATATATATATATATATATATATATATATATATATATATATATATATATATATATATATATATATATATATATATATATATATATATATATATATATATGTATATATATATATATATATATATATATATATATATATATATATATATATATATATATATATATATATATATATATATATATATATATATATATATATATATATATATATATATATATATATATATATATATACTTTTGAATTATACTTTTATGTTATCAACTTAATGATATATTAATTTAATTAAAACTCAAAAAAAAATCAAAAAAATTTTTGTAATGGTTTTTTTATAATAATTTATTTGAGTTCGCAAAGAATAATGGATTGAATCATGTTACCGAACCACTATCAATATCGTTCGTAAACTGGAGTTTTTATTCATAAAACCACTTTTTATTTATAAAATTGGTAACTTTTATATATTTATATTGTTAACTTTTACAAGTTAACATAAAAAATATTATGCCACATTAGAAGATGCATCAGAGTTTTCATTTCTTCTAAATTTCTTCCTACTTAAACTAAATGTTTTTTTATTTTTAACGATAGACACGACGAGAATGTAAGCCAGAGCCGTCCATCAAATAATTGCAAGTTACACCATTTGTAGTTGTTTATGCAAGTTACACTACTTGCTGTAACTATTTTGCGAGTCACATCACTTTTGGTACCTATTTTGCAGTTCACACCACTTGTTGGACCTATTTTGCAAGTCACATCACTTCTTTACTTTCTTCCATGTCACACTTTATGCTGTACTTTTTTTACACAACCCTTGCAGCACTTTTTTGCAAGTCGCACAACTTGCGGTATTTATTTTTTTCAAGTTACACTACTTGAAGTACTTTATTTTGCAAGTCACACTATTTACGGTATTTTTTATGCAAGTCAAACCACTTGCGGTAGATTTTTTACATATAAATTGACACAATCATTATTTTCATGTAATTGATAATATTTGATTCACATAAGAAATAATAATAAAAATCAACATACTTCCACTTTAAAAAAATAAAGATATGATCCAGCTTACCCTGATCAACAACTCTGGTACCCCTTAAGGTACTTCTTTTACTATAACATCAGTAATATTAAAGTATATCACATTGTCATATAAAGAAAAAATGGTCAACTGCTTCTGATTCATTTTCATCTTTTTTTCCTGTAAGAAATAGTATAAATTCTGTCTTCTTTTCTTTTATTTATTTTTTCCACTCAACCATCAAACGTAACAGGCTTATTTGTGGAAGAGTATTTGCAATTAATTCTTTCCGACATTATGTCACCTAAGTCCTTTAGTTGCTTGCTAGACAAGTGCTTATATAAATTCTTCATATTATTAAAATATAGTACACGCAGGTCTTGTTCTAACTTTCTTTTTTCTTTTTCATCAGTCTTTTGCAAGCCTTTCTTTTGGAAATCTCTGCCCGTAACGCAGTGAAGTCTTGCACTAAATGTCTCCTCATTGAGGTTGCTGAAATAGAAAGAGAGAAATATCTCATATTGACATTTCAAAACATCCTTTACCGCAATAAGACAAACTGAAATTATGTTGATATACTGCTCATCGATGAAGCATAAATTTTTTACAGGTTCTAAAACATTTGGTTTTCAAAAATTCTTTTTTTCTGTTTAAAAGTACACCTGGATTAGATTTCTAACCCTTAATTGTTTATAAGGCATCTTTAACAACCTGGAAACCAGCAATATGATCAAAACAACCTGGAAACCAGCAATATGATATTTAACAACCTGGAAACCAGCAATATGATCAAAACTTTTCAGCTGATACATAATATTTTTTCATCCAGAGTGAAAAGTTTTCCAAATATTGCTAGCGCGCACATTTGTTTTTTGACAGTTATATTACAGAATTCTAATTGCAAAACTGTTTGAGTGCCACATTTTAGCATTTTAGTGTTTTACAAAGATAAAACAGGTAAGAAAAAGAATGTGAAGACGATTGCCACGATAACTTGGTATTAAATCTCGAGGAAGTTTGTTGACAAGTCCTTCTGGATCACTTTTCTTATCTTTAAACCTCATTTTCTTCATCGCTAACACAATTTTAACTGGCATATAATCATATCCAAACAATTAGCAAGTGTCTTTTTCCAGAGGCTGCAATGCTGAACAACATGAAATAGTGATTGTGTTAAATAGAAAAAAATGCCAGCTCAGTTCATTTAAACTCTTAACCCAGGTTGCACAAACTTTGGTTATAGTAAGATGGTTTACTGCAACTCTGTCTGCTTTTGTGTTTGAAATAATGGGCTTAAAACATTCATCAAAGAAATTTTTTTTTTGATATATTTTGGAAGAAACAGCTGACTTTGAAGACAAATGAGAAAACCTATTTTTTAACTTTATTTTATTTGGGGTTAGTTATTCTCTTGACCTTTGCCTACCTTGTAACTTTACTCTTTGGCCTGGTGAACACAAAGATTCACTATTTATTGTAGATAACGAATTTTTTCCAATGATGATCCAGTAGAAGAACGAAAAACAACCTGATGCTTTACTTGTGTTACTAGAGGTATAGTGCAATGAACCAGTCAACAATGATTTTTAGAATCTGCGGCCGTGGCCCAGTGGTTATAGCGCTTGCTTTATAAGCAGGAGATCCAGGTTCAAAACGAGCTTTGGACATATTTCGCGTCACGGTAAGGAAGGAGGCGTGAACTTTCTGGTTAAATGCACTTCCGCGGTGCTCTGTGACAAGACCGTTAAAACTTCTTGGGGCACCTCAAATAACAAAAAAAAAAAAAGAATGCATAGAGCTCATTGCAAAATGCAGCAAAATGTTTT